GAGAGTTGTTTTTTTTTTTTTTCTTCTCTTCTTCTCCTAACAGCATAATGTGGAAGGTAAAACATAATTACAACTAAAACTGCTAAAAGAGTATCAATGCAGTGTCACCCATTAAGATCTGGGAATACTTTTGCAAATGCCAACCACTATTAACAAGCACGATATCTTGTTACAGCAATATATTCACTTTCCCTTTATGCTTGGATGTCATCAAGCAAATTATTGATAAGTAACCACAGAGAAAAGCCTGGCATAGCTTTCACACAGACTTAAATTGAGTCACCAAAACCAGTAGCATATCAGCTTCATTAGCTTTAGTACAATTCTTAAACAGGAGAAAAAAGTCATTGCTCATTAAAAGATGACCTTCCCTCCAAGAGCCCCCAAATTTCATTGAGATTTGATCAGTAGACCCTGACCACATTTGCAGCACTACTGCAACACTGGACTTAGCTGCGTAAATGTTATTGTTTTGAAAAAATAAACGAAACAACCTCCCCCCACACCCAAAACAAGTGTACTGGGACAGCACCTCATGCTACTTAAAAATAATACTGCAGTCTTCGGGCCTCAAGAGGGCACTGTCACTTCAGCACATGCTTGGTGCCCATCTCAAATATAAAAACAACACATCCACTTTTGTTGCTTACCTAACGTCCATGCAAAATAATACTTGGGTCTGGCAGCCATAAGAGACATATATAGGTAGAAAACCCTTACAGGCCATGATGCTGTAGCTCTGAAGTTATCATCAATGTTGTATTCCACAGGTAAAGTTTTTGTAATAGTCATGTGAAATAATAAGGACAGTCCACAGATTAAGAGTTTCTGTGCCACAGCTATCTGAAAAGTTTAAGACAGGAGATTCGTAAGCATCATTTTTATTGATCTTTTAGAAACAAAGTCAAGTTATAGCCTTCCTTTTCTAAACAGATGTATGTATATACATGTGTGTATATATATTTTATATATGTGTGTGTGTGTGTCAATTTTTCAGAAATATATACCATCAACTTAAAAAAATAGTTGGTAACAGTTTACAGATGCTCAAGAAATAGTCTTGATTAGGCAACAAGCAGCACTTCCCTTGTGGGGAATGCCACAAATCAAACCCAGCTACAGTCTCAGCCCCCGTAGAAAAACCTTTCCATACTTTGCACACATCTCACAGCTCCACTTTTACAGTTCATTGTAAAATTATCTAAGCCAGCAAATAGTTAAGACACCAAGCACACAAGCCAGAACAGGACAACTGAGCTGAGTGCTGTTACTGCAGGGATTCCAAAGTCACAGCAAAGGTTTAGTTCATGATCAGTAATCTTTGGCACGATTCACGTATTCACTTGCTGCCTGAACACAGCCGTCTCTGCTGGAGTCTTAAAATACATAAATTCCAAAACACTTGAAATACTGAAACAATTAATGTATTTGCAACAACAACAAAAAATTAAGGAGCTCTGTTTTCCAGCTAAAAGGATTCAAACTATAAGAGATCAAAGAACATGCCCACATATATGTAAAAATATGTTGTTCAGATAGGATTAGGACTCAAGACTTCCTAAAAATTCAGTGTTGCTATGATGGCCACTGAGGAGTGTGTTAAATTCAGACAGATAACATTTCCAAGGTCCCATTACAAAGAGCATCAAGCAATCACGCGAGGAACTTGCTGTTTTAAGTAGTTAGTCTGACCCATGTTCCACAGGCAGGTTATCATGTGCTATTTCAGCTACACACCAGGTTTGAGCCAGTCACTTAAACCTGCAAGTTCTGATTGTAAGTGATCTCAAAAATGACATTCCAGGAAAGCAATAACATGACAGAAATGGTGAGGGTAACTGGCAGCTCTGGGTACTGCAAACATTTCACTGTGATCACTCGCCAGTTATTCAAGAGATTAGGAAAAAAACAGCTAATTAAACTGGCTGGCTAATTCAGGGGGCAACTACCTACCCACAGCTAAAGCCAGTTCCTATTAGTTTCTACTTGCTTTCTAATGACTCCCAGTTTCACATTTTGCTCTATCACAGGACTTCAAAGAGAAGGTCATTGACTTTCTTAAAAGTGTTTTTTGTTTTTCCGGTAACTACTAATCCATTTCTGCCTCTACCAGAGCAGAGGAACAGTTGAGCTGGCATTAACTTGCTGTTTTGGGAAGTTTCATTAGCACGTGTTCAGAAATTCAGCTACTAATGCTAAGGAAGCTTTAAGTCTGGTATGCAAATACCCAACACATGCAAAACTTGCACATTTGTAAATACCAAAAGACATCACTAAGTTCCAAGGAGAGCAGTAAGCATTTAACTTCAAAATCTCAAGCACAATTAAAAGTCACAATCTGTCATGAAAAACAGTATTTACCAGCTCGTAACTATGAACATGCTCATTTTAAATGTTTATGCTGATACTTTAAGTGCTTTTGATCTGAAGTGCTCTACAAAGTCTGAAAATACTATGTAATGTTATCACTGTTTAAAGGGGCCTGTTCCACAGGCCACTATTTTCCAGTTCTTTTATATATTACCATTAATCAGCCACTTCTACTCAAGCTAAGTTTACTCTCTCTTTGACAAGTTTTAACTAAGTTGTAGAGGTGAAAGCTCTTTAAAAAAATTACAGTTTCAATAACATGAAATTCAGTAATTAATTCACACAGGGCTCCCCCTTAAGTTGATTTTTTTTAAAAAGACAAAGAAAACTGCCTGAAGTTTTCAGCTCCAAGTTGTAGAAAAGATACTGTAGCTGGATATTTCTTTATATATATAAAATATTTAAATGAAGTATTCCTACATTTTTAGCAGTAACACTTAAGCATAGCACAAGCCTAATAACATACAGAAAGAGCATGTCTGTCTCTATGTTACCTTTTGGGGTTTTGTTTTGTTTTGTTTTTTCTTTTTAACTCTACAATTTCATTGCATGATGGTAAATCCCAGACAAGTACGCTGAGACCACTTAGAAGGAGCAGTATTAGGTAAATTAACGTCCTTAGCAAACAAGAGACCACCTTGAGACCATCCTCAAGGCCCCTAGGAGGCTCTGCAGCTGCAGTTCCACAACTGGTTTGTGCACCAGTTTCTGAAAGATGATCTAAACTGCAACGTAAGGAAGCCACCCTGCCTTCTCTCCTCACTGTGGCTGCAAGAATTTGCCCCTTTTTCTTCTAGTGAGCCAGACTAAACAGCTAGTTTTTCACCTCATTTGCTTCCCTAATTTAGGGAGTTTCTGTGTTTCGGGTGTTTTCTTTCTTGTTCTGTTCTGCTTTGTTTTGAATGAGCTTCTTTTTAAGATCAAGCAATCTGAATCAAATCACCATGCAATTAAATGTTAATGCTTAAACATTAACCGTTAATGACATTGTTAGTACAATGTTAACACTACTATGCCAAACAAAGAACCCAGATCCCGTACTTGCAACTGGTATATTGGACATGAGCTTACGCTTAGCTTCACCTTAAATAGGTTTTTAAGCTACAGTCTGAGGTTTGTTAATTGCACTTAAGGATTATTCTTTCTATGAAGAAATAATAAATCAGTAAATCTGTTCAGACCTTATCTGACACCATAAAAATCTACAGGTAGTTCACTTACATCAATCCATTCATTTAGCATGTCTTAATTGACTAAGTTATTAATGCAGGCTTCTCTGCCAAAGCTTAAATAGGAAGCCACTGGATTTACACTCACAGAATGATTTTTTGTTTGTTTTTAATAAAACTACTAACTTAAAAGTTTTAGATTTGATCTATTCTTTGAAGTTTCGTTTAACAGTTTGAAACATTAGCACGTTTATGATAGAATAACTCAAAAACCAAAAGTTTGCCAAAAGAAACTCCTCTGTGAATGAATTAGAAGAGCATTAGCTGCAGGATATCTTCAACCGCATATGTAGTAATAGGTACATGGAAGACAAAGGAAAAAAGAGAAGAAAACCACAGAGTAAGAAACTTTTGGTGCATCAACTGCTATGCTGATTGAGAAACAGACAGTTAATTTTACAAGGTAAAACAGTCTGGCTCATTTAGCTCTGAGAAACAAAAGCTGAGTATTCCTGGATAAAAATATCAACATGGTTAACACTGGAGAGTGAAAGAGGTACTAAGCTAAAAGGCAGCGCCAGAGCAAGAACAAATGTGCGTAAATTAGAAGTGCATATAATTAGATGGAAAGCCAGATTCCTAATTGGAGCAAAGGAGTTTGGGAATAGCTCTCTGACAGGCACGACAAACTTAACAACAAAAGTGGAAACCCACAAACCAAACACTCCGCTGAGCTCAGGGATTATGTTAGTCTATTTCTGCATAAACATATTAATGTATATTTATATACTTTGCACAAGTAGATACAGACCCTTTAAACTTATTTGAATGAGTTCTCTTTTTCTTGGCTGGTAAGCAATCAATAGAGATCAATTAAGTACTAAACTACTTTAAAACATGATTTTGGGGAGGATGACACCTTCAATTGTGGGTAATTAATCAAGAACTTCACCTTGCAGCAAACATTTGCTAAAGAGACAAAACAGAAGCAACCATTCTTGCTGACATGACTCTTGTCATAGGTTTCTCTTTATTCTGGCAACTTTTAAGATAGATATTAATTTTTGAGAGTTGACACCACTTTGAGCACCAATTGTCAGCTTGCAAAAAGACACAATAGGAGGAGTTTTAAAAGTGAGTTTTAATCTTGGCTTGATATATTTAACATGCAATGAAAGCAGCAAAATACTAAATCAAGTTAATATCACGCAGTTAACACACTATAGAGAAGGAAGCTGGCATGAACTTCAGTTATATAAATGATATTTAACAAGAGATAAATATTATTGTAAACTCAGCTTTAGGTTTTTTTATTATTATTATTTAGTATATTACGTTTGCTGATCCGCACTATACTTCTGATCAAGTTGCCTAAAAAATTCTTCTTCTTGAAATGATAATAATCTAGGAACACATTTAATGCATTTTAATGTGAAGTTAATGGCATTTAAATATTATTCTAGAATAGAACACTGAATATTTTAATTGATGGAGCAAACACAGTAAAAAAAGAAAAAAAAGGGAGAAAAACATTCATCATCCATATCTCTCAAAGCACATAATACACTCTGGCATTATAAAACAGTACAAGCACCACCAGCTGGAAAATATCAATGCCATAGATATGGTATTAACAGCTTTTAATTTTCATGTCAGAAGCTAATATATCATAATATATATCCATATATATCATAAATTGAGGAGGGGGACAGTGTTTACGAACAACTCATTTCAAGGAAAATTGCTTACCTGAAAATCAAGAATCTTTTATGAATTTACATCTATTGACTTTGCTTAGACTGATAGCTACATTATATGGGGTAAAGCTAAGCAGTCTCAGCAGACACCAGCAGATTCAGTTGGTTCCACTTATTCACAGATATTTTATTACACCATGTTTTTTCTCCAGAACAAGATGTTCAATACATAAGATGTGATGCTTCTACCACAGGGAGCCACAAGGATCTTTAAAAACAGAGTGTCTGCTACTTTGCCACCACAGCGCACGAATATGCGGCCAGGCCACAGGAGCCAGCCAGTCTCACTTGTCTTGCTCGCTTCCCGACTCCTCGCTCAACAGTCTGCTTCTATGTGCCTATCAACTTAGTCAGCACGTGGAGTAGTTCTAAATATCATCACCCTCCAGCTACTAGTTTGCACTGCTGCAGTGCCAGGCGCTACAACCGCAGCAAGAGGCGGTTGTGTGGAGCCTGCAGGCTCCCTCAGCACCCCTCATCCAAGGCGGGAGGGTGGCTGCAGAGGCCGAGCCAAGGGGAAGTGCTCGCACGGCCTGTTCCTCTCGCCAGGCCGTGGGGCTGGTGACCTCCAGCTGGCACCACGGGGCAAGGAGCTATGTGGGGAAATGACAACCTGCTCCAGCAACAGTTGGGGGGCCACGAGATGCAAGGAAAGGCAGGATCTGAAGTATATCCCTTGGCTCCATGATAGCAGAGGGTGTGGTAAGATTTTTGGTTTTGATTTTTCCTTTGTGTTGTAAAAATCATCTTGGATTGACACAGATTTAAAAGCAGACACTCCTATTTAAGAGAATAGGAATGACAATGTATTATTCAGTTGCCTTAGAAAAAGCAAGCAGTTAACCTCGTGTACAGAGTGTTGGCAGGACTGTTGTTGAATGAACCCCAGATACAGCTCAGAAGTTATGCCTGTAAGTGAAGAGCGCAAGCTAAGGTCGTCATACGACGATTATGCAAGCATTAGTACTGAAAAAAAAGGAAAAGAAAAAATGTCATAGATCTTACATTTGGAGAGGGATCTGTTTGTTCGTATTTTGTATCTTCCTTCCCATTTGCTTCAGACTGTTGCAGTTGGTATGATCTTCCTTCAATGAAGGTAATATAGTCTTTGTAAGAGCATAATGGGCCTGCCAGGATACCCATGAAGTTACAGTTGTAACTTAAATACTCCAGTAGGCTTGGCATGCGTCTGTAATTCAAAGATGAGCAGCTTATGAGAATGTAGAACATAATTTTATACATTTCTCTTTGAACTAGAGACCTTCTCCTTGCCCAGAACCAAACAAGTATCTGTTCTTACACATCTTCATTATAAATCATTTAAATACCCTAAAACAAAATAATAGCATGACTGGATGGGGTTTTCCTCATCCATTTGAATAGTTGCAATACATTTCTCATGCAAATCATGAAATTGCCATGTTTGCTAAAGACTTATTGCCATTATAACCTATTGATGCAGGCAAAATTCTTAAATACATCTATAAGCTCTATGAGCAAAAGTAACAGAAAAAACACCACAGAATCCCAACGCTCTGAGCCACCCATCACCTCAAGAGGATTGGGAGGGACCAAGTGTAACTCTGAATGCAAGAGAAGTTGAGACTATGAAAGGGGATGTTTTACAGAAGCTAAGCCAGAGAAGGAAGGAAGGAAGTTATTTCACTAAGCATTTGGTTAACTGTTTGTTTTCTTTCATCCTCTGTCCCCAAAATACCCAAATCAGTTATTGAAAGCTTGATGAAGGTTTCCCAAGCCAAGACTGTGTTGCCCATTATAGCATAGCCTCCTGAATAAAGGAAGACAATGTAAGTTAAGTCTTGGAAACAGGAATTACACAAACTCCCTTGCTGATTATTTTACATGTATATTACATATAGTCATTAATATGCCTATAATGCATACAACTTCGGCTTTATACTCAAGAAAAATATTCCATTTCAACAGACATTTCCTGGAAGAATAGATACACATCATTAAATTACAAATACGAAGCACACAGATCTGTTTTAGATCAGTTTGCGAACTCTCCATCTTTAATATGAACTGTAGCAATTTCTCAAAGTATGAATAATAAAAAAGAAAAAACAGCATCTTTTCCTTATCCTCCCCAAAATTAGACCACAGCTATATAGCTCATTGAAAGCCCACCTTACAGCCAAGCACCTCTGTGATGGAGTCAAATCTTCATTTTTTCGAAACATTCCTAGAGAAGAGGGAAGATTAATCAGAAAGAGAGTTAATACCCCCAACCACTAAGTAGCAATTTCTTTGTTTGGAGTAACTCTCATGCTGCAATGTCATTTCTTATTTGCTCAAATAGTTTCATGTTGCTCACATGATGCAACATTTTATGCTGGAGTTGGGTCAAATAATTCTTACCACTGATAAAGTGAGAACACTTTCATATGGTTCTCAGGTTGTACAATCTTATTCCCAATCCACGATATCAGACAAGCTCCAAACCCTATTCAACACTATAGTAACCCAAGGACATCACGCTGCTCAGCACACACTTGCTGTAAGGTATGGGCACAATTCAAGACAGATTTTGGCAATTCAAAGCCCAAGGCAGACCTCACAAAAACCACTTTTGTGCTGCAGCCCTAGAGGAGCTACACAAGGTCCTATGAAACAGCCAGGACAGCAGAGGAGGCTCCAGACTTTTTTTCTGAAGCGCTAATGAGGTGCTCTAAGCCCCGCGAGCAGAAGGGGGCAGGCCAAGACTAAGCTGAGCAGCAGGACTGGCATGACCCTCTCTTCACATAATTAGAACATACTAAAATTCGAGAGCTCCTCTTGAACAGGGTCGGTTTCTCCCTGCCAGCAGGGCTGGCCAAGCGGCAGCTTCAGTCACCTGCACGGGCAGGCAGCAGAGCTCGGCGCTCGTGGCCCATCAGGCACATGGGCAAATTCTCCTTGCGAGTGCAAGTGCTAGAAAAATTATTTTCATTAGCCTAGTTTCCTAATGAAAATTAAGCTTATGCAATCCCATTTTAATTAATCCTTCCTTCCTCGCAGTTTCTAAATCCACCAGCCAATTCCCAGCCAGGCTTGATGAAAGAGGCATGAAATTCTAATATGTTTTATGATCATAGGTGAATGTGCAGAAGGAAGAGACCCCACTGGTCACTGCACTCAGGAAAAGGCTGTTTTCAAAGCTCAGAAGGGAACGCTCATATTTGCTCCAAACATAGGAGTTTGGATGGAAGCCTATTCTTCTAGAATTAAAATAATAAACATAAATAAATAAAAAGTATCAAAACAAATCAAGTTTGAGATAGAAGTCCACAGGGGCCCAGGGCATGGGGAGAAGCTTTATTTGATTCTATGACTCATGGAAATAATAGCTGTCTAAAGCAAAGTTAATCCGTTGTCTTCATGTGACTCCAGGAACTCTGACCTATAGACACTTATGACTTAAAAATTGCACATTTAGTCTTGAAAGCTGAGGCAATAAAGAGGGGCTAAGCAGCAGGATGTCTCTCTTCTGATAGGACCTCCAAAAACACCCTTTGACTTTCCTGAGCCTCCACATGGAAAGTCACCCCCATCCACACACACTCAAGGGCCGGACAAAGTCACTTTCTCTTCTCCATCACAACATTTTCTCACGTGCTCCCTAGTGGTACAGGGAAGACTTTCATGCTGACAACTGGACTGAAAGAGATGTGTGAGGAGCTTTGTAAAGGTGGCTTTAAACCATAATGCTATAAGATCACAGATCCCTTTTTCTGAAATTAACATAAGCTAAATCAGAAAATAAACACTGAAAAATTCCTACGTACACAGCTTCTATAACACAAATAGCTTAGGGAAGTAGCCTATACAGAACCTGCGAAGTCTTACACCACAAACCAGAGCAGGATCCTGCTAGCTGTGATATTCCACATGAATATTTCCCTTCAGTCAAAGGAAGCAGTGACTTGCCAAGGGGGTCCAAATGAGCCAGCATAAAGCTCAACTAACCACTAAATAGAGCTTAGTTAGTCAAATGAAAGAATCAACTGATACACAGATCTACAATCTACACAAATCAAAGCAGAAATGGAGGAACCAGTGTACTGAAATGTGGTCTATACTTTTGGAGATTATAGAGAAAATAGGCATATTTCAAATTAATTCAAGCCAAGTGTCTTGCAGCCTAGGTCCCCCTCCCTCTCCTTTTCTTTTTCATGTCAGCTCAGTGACTTGAATGCCTATTTGTCACCTGGGCATCACAAGGAAGATCTAGGAAACCCCTAACCTCCGCTTGTCTCATTCTTCAAAACATTCAGCCAAAAGCCAACTCCTTTCCAATATCCTTCCCTACAGCCTTCACAAGAGCCCCTTTTCAGCACTGAGCTGCTCTTTCACCACACTTACCGCTGTATCACACTATTACCTCAGCTACGTGGTGGTTCTGCTGGATTATCACCTTTACATTTGCATGAAGATTTGCTCACTAACTCCCTAATAATGTTTAAACATGAGATCATATCATGTGAGTAAAACCTAAACATGGAGACGATAGACTGTTTTATCTGCAGGACATTTTTATGATATCAGACTGTTTTATCTGCAGGACATTTTTATTTGAGGTTGTGGAATGGATCACTGCCTGAACTCAAAATATTTCACTCACATCTTGCAGCTAAGACCTAAAGACAACGGACAGACGACAACAGTCTCAGCTGTTACTGGCACTGGCAGCAACCAAAGCAAACAGGCACAAATGCCAGCTAAGCATAACTACAAAAACACTAGAAAAGCGAGAAAAATGAAATAAAGGCTAAAGTTCTGATATTCAGGCAGCAGAGAAAGCAAATGCAAGTCCAAGGCAACACTTGAAGATTTAACAGGGGAAAAACGCAATGCAAATCCTTCAACATTAGTGACATGTCCTGTAATCAGAGTAATTCAGTAAGTCATAGTGAGGCAATAATGAACATGCTGTCATTAACACAACAGGGAGTACTTTGAAAAAATATACAAAAATATACAAGTATTAAAAGGAATTCCTAGACTTTAGGAAAAATGATCTAGTTACTCAAAAATAAAAGGAAAATGCAGATTCACTGACTTATTTCAAGCCAAACACAGAGCAACTGAACAGATGAACGAGAAAAGCACACTCTCAGCTGAATAGCTGCAGGTTTTTGCTGCAATACCAGAATTTATAAACTGAGCTGGGTCATGATGACCCACTAAAAATTTTACAAGTACGTAGCTCAACACGCACAAACACACATCCCAGCTCAGGAACTGATCAATTTTCTGTTGCTCAAAGTTTCATAAGAGCAAACATGCAAGCGCACTTTAAAAAAAAAAAAAGTTAATAAAAGTTATTTAAGCATCAGAAAAGCACATGATTTGTGAAACCTCTACTTTCATAGATATAATTATGCTCTTGAATAAATGATCATCTCTCCTTGAAGCAACAAAAACATCCAAACATTTAATCACAAAAATAAGTCAGCCAAAACACTGCATGCTGTACAACAATCAGTAATCCAGCCTGATGATCCTGTTTTGGATTTGTAGGTATTCAAAATAAATTTGCAATATCACATCTAAAGTACAGAAGCGCATAAGCTGTTCAAAACTTGACTATATTTGTATTTTCACACTTTAAGCAAGAATAGACTGAAGTTGCCTGCAAGCCTTCAGAAAGATTTGGTGCCTTTTGGCTGAGCATGAGAAGTATTTATCCGTGAGAAACTTAGGACTAGTCAAGCTAACCGAAAACAAGGAGGAAATGTTTATAGTGAAAACAAGAAACATTCTCCGAGACTTTTGACAGAGCTGCATTTCTTGGGGACAGCCAATGAAGCCGTCTGTGCCAACACAACAGCACATAGTAGAGCTGGGACAGAACAGTGGATCTGCTGCAAAGCAGTGATAAATTATAACCCTTATAGCCTTCCCCCCGCCAAAAAAAAGAAAAGAAAAAGAAAAAAAGAAAAAAGGTATTCTGAGTGTATGGTTTATTACCATGATTCAGTGAGGCAGGTGGCAATACACAGCTTAGATCAGTGCAAATAAAAAGGTGTTTCTGCAAAATTTCTCTAACATAAGGAAGAAGAAGAAGAAAAGAAAAGAAAAAGTCATCTCCTTCCTTCCTATTTTTCCATGTTTTTTCTATGCATTAAAATATCCTCCCTCAAGAGCTGTGTGGACTACACTGTCATGACAGGGTGCAGGCATAGGGTCTACTAGCCCCCTTGGAGATCTTAAGCACTTAAGCACAATAACAACATGAGGAAAACCAGAATAAGGCAATTTGGTCACAACCTTAATAGCCTGATACTGTAACAAAAGTAAATAAAGAGATTTAACACACTGGTGTAACCTTCTTATATTTGTCAATATATCATCCAAAGGAAAAGGCAGGGGCATACACTCTTCAGAGTACCTGTTCACTACATCATTTCTTTGTTGCAACCTTGTTCTCCCCATAAATTCAATGCCTGAACAGATCAGCATCAATGTCTCATCTGCTGCTTTCCAAAATGCAAAGTGCCATGTACATCAGGAGGAAGGAATTAATACAGAAAAGAAACAGAGTTCCAGGGAAGATCATTTAAAAGTCATGAAGCTAGAGCTGAAACCCAAGGCATGCAGGACAGGAGATAGGGAACACACGGGAACAGCTGAGTACATCTTCTCTGTCAGAAATCATGCAAAATAAGGCTGTGGAAAGCAAGAACCTGCAGCTGGCAGGAGTAAAGAACACAGGGGCTCTGGTTGCTCACTCGTATCTAAACATGCTTTTCTCTGGACCAATCTAACAGGAGAAATACCTTGGAAGAATTACCTTTCTTGGCTAGTAGATGAATATTACACTTAAAATATCTTTTAAAAAACACATGCTTTTAGGTGATATTTAAATTGGAGAAAAAAAATAAAGTGAACTTTGAAGAAAATGGGAAATACCTTCCTCCCCTGTCTGCTTACACATCAAGTCCCATATCAAGTCCCAGTTTTGTTGAATAACTTTCAAAAATATGTCCTAAGCTGCAGAATTTTCATGAGGTATGAATGTAAAAATTTGAAGAGAGTTTATGTTTAGGATTTGGTAAGTATTAGAGCTAAAAAGAAGTTACCAAAGAGCATACAGGTTAGTAAAATTAGAGTTTGATACAGAATAGATGCCCAGAATTGCAGTAAAACAAGCAAGGCTGCATAGATAAGCGGGTTGGCAGCTAAAGAACCACCCAATATCCACCTCATTGCAAGATACAGGAGGAGTTAAGCACTAACAACATAGCTCTTCCCCTCCCCTGCCTGAATGCTTTGGCAACTGTAGTTATTAATTGCCACCATCTTCCAGCCAGGACCACGTTTCTTTCACAAGTCTGGGGGAAAGGTATTTTAGAAGAGAGGAGAAAGAAACAAGAAACTTTCTTCCTCAACTCTGTTATTAGCCTAATGTGCTACATATGTCCAAATCTGGCCATACAGAATGAATACGGTCACAAGCTGCCTCCAATCCAAGTAAAAACATCTCTGCCTTTAAGACATACGCATGTGACGCCAAAGATAACCAACAAGAAACACAAAGCAAGTCTTAATAGAGCAGCTATTTGTTTCTAGCAGTGTTAAAATAGCAAAAAGGCAAGAAGTAGCAAGGACCTAACAAGCATAATTTCAAAAATCAATCAAAAACCACCAAAGGCAGAGTTAAATTTGTGATCCATGCAGTATCTTGAAGAAAGGTTAGGGATATATACAAGGTTTAAATGATTTCTATACAACCTGCATAGAACAGTTCTGCTTCTAAAGCAGACACACAATGGGTGCAGAAGGTTATAAGAATTATAAGGATAGCCATTCCTTATTTAAGGGATTCTGTACTAGTGCTCAGCTGGGAGTCAAAACATATCTACACTAGGAGCAGACTGACTCATTAATATGGGACATGAGTTGCCTTCATGGTTATATCCAGTTCTGTCCAAGACTTGAAACTTTAACAGTGAAACCAGGCTGAACACAATGAATAAGCTGCCAGAAGAAGGTACAGAGGATTTGCCTTTACCACTAATTCAAAAGCAAATAAATAAATACAAAAAGGACTGAAGTTCCTTAGAGCACCCTGGTGTATTGACTCAAGGCTAGCTTACTTGATTTTGTTTAGAAAATTTAATGGAAAATTAAAGACTGCTGAAAGAAGACTTACCATCATGAATCTCAAACGCCAAACTAGTGATCTTCTGTGTAATGATCATCATTGGACTGTTACAAGAGAGGGGAAAGAAAAAAAAAAAAAAAGAGAACAGTATATAAAGAAGTCTAGGATTTTATTTCTTAGACAAGTATTAGGGAAAGTTTACACTAATAAGTTTAAGTGAACAGAACTCTCAATTGACAGTTCCTCAATACAAGTGATGAGTTTTTAGAATTCAAATCATTATTTTTGACACAATTAAAGTAGTTTATTACTTACAGTGCTTGATAAACCATACCCTTTACTGCTGCACTGGGTCCCACAAGCATAGTCAGTGTTCTGCATTTTATTATGTTAACATAAAGTATTTTTTATGTTAGTGGAAAAAATATAGTATGACACGTACTATACAAGGAACTACATGCATTATAAACCATCAACAACAGCAGTAAGTTCAATAGCGACAATTAATTTATCTACATTGACCATTTCCACTTAAAGACAAAAATACACCTACTCTAACACCTGGTTCTGTATTTAGTTTTTCACTTTGAATTATTATAATGGATTTCATTTTGTACTGAACTTGAGAAGACCTTCAACTGTCACAGAAATACTCCTTAGTGGAGCAGACTTGGCTTTTACCACTGCAGAGGTCAAAATCTTTACCAGAAGACCATTACCATCTTTATGGTGTCTAAGAGTTTTCAACTGAAGTAAATCTGAACATTGGCAACCACTAACAGCAAGGGAGAGGAAATAAAACGCTTCAAGCAGCCTACAAGAATTTAAACTTAACTCTGAAATCATTTTTTTAGAAGTATATTGGGAGTGCTTAATTTGCCTAGTAATAATTGATTTAGGGACAAAAACTGACTGTATTATAGGATGGACACTATCTTGCCCAAGTCTTCTCACAGCACTTAGTATTATTAATCATGTTTAAGGTGATTAAGCACCGTCTAGGGAGGTATGAGCCAGTATCTTGAGTACCAAAGAATCTGTTTATGCTTGCTTAAATCCGACAGCTCAAACGTAAAATCAGAACCTGATGGAGGATTCAGAGCATCCACGCAGAGCACAGTGATCTTGTGGCATATGTAGAGCTAGCAGAGATCTGCAAGCCAACACCATAGCAAGAACCACAGGGAGAGCCTGAACCCAGTACATGAAGAGCAACAATGCACTTGGAGAGAGTCCAGCGCAGGGCCACAAGGATGATCAGGGGCCTGGAACATCTGCCCTATGAGGAGAGGCTGAGGGAGCTGGGCCTGTTCAGCCTGGAGAAGAGAAGGCTGAGAGGGGATCTAATCAGTGTCTATAAGTACCTCAAGGGAGGGAGTGAGGAGGATGGTGCTGGTCTCTTTTCAGTGGTGGCCACTGACAGAACTAGAGGAAACGGCTGGAAACTGAAGCACCAAAAGTTCCACATGAACTTAAGGAAAAATTTCTTAACAGTGAGGGTGACAGAGCACTGGAACAGGCTGCCCAGAGAGGTTGTGGAGTCTCCTTCTCTGGAGATTTTCAAAAGCCTCTTGGACGCAGTCCTGTGCCACATGATCTAGGTGACCCTGCGTGTGCAGGGGGGTTGGACTAGATGATCTCTAGAGGCCCCTTCGAACCTTAAGCATTCTATGATTCTATGACTAGCACTCAGCTGCAGCACCACCAGTGCAATTCTATTGCTACTAGAATTAGCTCAGGTTTGGGTCATCCGAAGGTTGTGCACTTTGTCCCTAAAGTGAGCTCTAAGGGCAGCATTTGGATTTCTCACTCGCACAACCATGAGATTCAATTCAGTTCTGCATTCTTGCAGCCAGTGTTAAGCATCTTTATGCACCACATGTACACTATATAGTAAGCTATGTGCTCTTGCGATCAGAGATCTAGTTAGTACAGTGAGTACAAAACACAGAAGTGATCCAGCTCATGCTAACCGAGCAACTTAGCAGTTGGCCAACTAAAATGCCGTCGAGTTCATCTGCATTGATTGCACCTCCACTGACTATACCCAAAACTTGGGTGTCTGGCTTTTATGTAGAGACCTAGGTGCAGATTCAGATTTGGCTGAGTCCTTCTGAGGCATCTTCCTACCAGGAAGCACATACTTAACTCCTAGGCTTCAATACTTAACCACTAGGCTTCACTTTCTAAATTAATCTGGGTTAGATGCCACAAAGACTGCGACCAAGCTAACTAGAACGCACTACTGTACAATACAGGCAACACTAAATTACGAAGACTAATGCCATTCACAGTGTTTTTGAAAAATACTTAATGCATTTTTAAAAACAGACTTGCAACTATCCCCTGCCCCCCTTTCCGAAATACACAATTCCCTTTTAAATCACCAAACTCACCATCAGCAGGCAACTCATTTAAACCAAGTGTTGTGTTTTGCTTCTTACCTTGCGCAGCACAGAGGGAAACGACCATGATGGCTCATTTTTACTTTGCCTATTTTATTATATTTTACTGGCGTACAACTCCCAGTATTAATTTAAGCTAATTACCTGCAGTGACAGTACAGACATAACTTGGTATTTCCAAGGGGTGTTATTCCACTGTATAAGTGGCTGTCTCCTTAGCTTTCCCTTTCTGAAAAATCTAATAAGATTGAAAAAAGAAAATGCTAAATCCTAAACTCCATAAAACATTCAGATTTTCTTCCAAGAGTGGTATCAGACTGTGGCAGACATACGTCAGATGCAGTTCAGAGTCTGTCACGTTGTCATGGGTGGTAACTGAAATTTCAAGGGAAAAAAAGGCAAAGCTGAAAATCCCAAGGGCCACTGAATCCTTAACACAGGAGAGTAAGGAAGCAGACACTGCGTTGTGCATTTTGACAGACAACTGTTTACAAAATTCTCCATTTACATGTTTTAAGTATGCGAGCATCTATGGGTGCCTAAACCAATAACATACGAAGTCTAGCTTGACCCAAGTTTATAACAGGTTGACACATTTAATTCAGAACAATAATAGACAATATCACTCAGAAAAACAAGGTAAAGAGTGTAAGTTTTTTTATTCTTACCCAGAAAAATCAGCAGAATACTGTCCATAATCAAAGATATAGACTCTAGTGATTTGGCACACAGTGAGGTATCCTAAAGCAAAAACAAAGCAATACCTGAAAGAGAAAAGATTGCTTTTCAATTAAAAACCATTAACTTCTCTCCACTGAGTAAACTGCTTTTTTTTTTTTTTTCTTATTTCTATCAACTGTTTTATCGTTTGAGTTTGTAAACATACCTTTACCCTGAACCTTGCATTTTAAATGCAGACCTTAGAAATTCCATTATTGATAATATTCACACAAAAATGACAATATTGATAACTTCAAGTGCTACTACAAAAAAAAGTCCTATGAAAAGAAAATTAATCTATTGAACATTTAATACAAAGGTTTTTTTTTCTTAGTGCACAAATTGGACAAGTTATACATGGAGCGTCTCCTTTACTGAATGTATGGATTCCATATCCTCCAATTTCAGCACTGCAAACCCCACTGCAGCCATTTGTAGGAGAACTGGAAAAGGCAATTAGTTTTCAAATACACACATTAGAACATTTCTGAATGAGAAACAAACAGCAGGCCTTTATGCTTCTTAAAGCTCAGCTTCAGCAGACATACAAAAAAACACAAATAAAAATAATCTCATAGGAATTAGTGCGATTTCATAGATTTTTTTTCCAGTGCTTTTTTTTCCTTCTTAAAGGATAGAATACCAGTGAGAATTAATTTGTCAAAATACCCCCAAAACACAGCTAAATTGTTTGCCGTCAAGAAGATGGTAAATGCCAGAAGGAACTTACATGTTGGTTAAATCTTTAAAACATTCAGAAGCCACAGGAGGAGGGAGGATGAGATGAGAATTGGAGGAGGGAGGATAAGATGAGAATCAGAACTAGAACTTAGTTGAAATAGTGAGCAACACTAAGGGAAGACCTTAGAACACCCTTTGTTTTGCAAAAAGTTAAAAGTATTTGCATAATGAATTTTAAAATGTTAGAAATTATTTTCAAATATGAAAGTGGTAACTGTTCTTGTCACATAGAACACTTGAAGATTAACCTTAAATAATTGAAAACTGTGCCGGATATAAACCACAATGTTTTAAAATGTTTAATCTCGGAACTACAGACCTCGCCATTTTTCATTCTATATAACATATTGATAGCTGTGTTAAACCATTCATTTAAAATGGAATGCTTTAGGCCACCTAATTTAGCAATAAATTGCTTATTTTCTGTTTTCATAAATATAAATAATCCAGAAGCAATACTCTATTAGAAGGCTAATTAGTACGTGAATGCTAATAAGACTCCAACAGTGCTAAAAATAATTGTG